CACACACACAAACACACCCCCGTGCCCAGAACTATGTTATTTTTTCTTTTTTTTTCTTTTGCCGCCATCCACTGTCCAGTCATCGGCGCTGCCTCGCTGGAGGCCAGCAGCTCACCCGGCGACGGCGATGTGGGACCGTAGGTGGTGGAGACAGAGATGGAGATGTGGAAACGAGTGTGTATCCCACTCAAAGAAAAGTATGGAGGACAATTTGGCGCAGCATTTTGTGCTTTCCTTTTTTTTCCCTTTTTTTTTTTTAAAGAGTCCCTTCCTTTGCGTGCCAAAAGCTGATTGGAGGCTGTTGGTTATTTTTTCGCAGGATGTGCGTCTGCACGCACTGGTGTGTGTGCGCGCGCGCGTGCGCCGTGTGTGTGATTGCAGTAGAAAGTGCAGGCTAAAGCGAGGCAGATGGCGGCAGATGGGCGAGGTTGGAGGAAGGTGCTCAGAAAAAAACCTGGAAATCTACACCACTGCCGCCACTCGCCCGCCCGCCCGCACGCTCTGCTCGCCCGCCCGCATGTAAAAATAACACAGTTTGCTCAGAGCCAAGTTACAGAGATGCAAAGTAGCCGGGATTAAAAAGAGAAAAGGGGATGGAGGGTGGGGGGGGGGTTGGGGGGGCCCCAAGGCAGAGGAAGATGAGAAAGGAGTGAAAATATTTCAGGGTTACAGGAGTGAAACTCCGCCGGTTCCTGTGTTTGCCTTCAGTGAGGAGGGCAGATGAAACACGGAGGAGAGGGATGGTACCGATGCAGCCCGAGATGTGAAGGAACGGATTGAGGTGTTTTTGTTGGTTTCCTGGTCAAAACGAAATGGTAAAAAAAAAAAAAAATGGTGCGAGATTAATAAACAATACGCAAAGGGATGGAACGGGATCAGGGAAAACACATGGGGAGTTGCTTCTCTCCCTTTTGTTCCATATTTTGTGTCTTTGACACATTTTCCTCGTGGCAGTTTGAAGCGTGTAAAAGGGGGGTGGGATTTGGACTTCTTCCATCGCTTTTGACTGTTCTTGTTTAGTTTTTCCTTGTTTTTTCTGTGCCGTATACGTTTAGGGGCATGGGCCCTGTCGTTCCCGTAAAGGTTCGGCGTGCGGCCGGCAGAGCTTTTTTTCTAAACGACAGCAGATTGTCAGCAGAAGCCAGTTTCCAAATGACGGCACTTTGGAGATGGAGGGTTCTCTGTTTGACACCAGCAATATGGGATTGTGTGCCGGGCGGTATAGGAGGTGGGTATGTGTGAGCGTGCTCCCTGCTGGTCGTCTGGGCGGGCACAGCCACAGGCAGCCAGAGCCTGTCCCATCCCACGCCGTCCCGTCCGGGCTGCCAAGCCCCCGTCCTGCGGGCAGCAGCTCGCTGCCACATGGCAGCCCCGACAGGGACCGGGACGGGTCAGGACCCCCCCCCCCCCTGCTGCTTTTAATCTCCCCTCCTCTTCTCTCGTCTCTCCGATCAGCGACATGTTTTTATCCGTGGCTCTCCATTCGGTCCCCCTTTATTCAGAAGCTCTTTCGCTAACTGTTCCAGGCAGAACCAAACACACACTCCAGTGCCTTCTCGCCTGGGGCTGTGGGGCAGCATTCTGGCTCTGTGTGGATTAATCTGCTCCCTGCCTGCAACCGAGCTGCCACCACTTTTTTTCTGTGGTCCCAGGACACACAAAAACACACACCCGCTTGCAAACACTGACACGCACAACCGGACAGCTTGATTTGTATACATTTGCACTGCTCTTGTTTTTTGGGGGGTTTTTTGCCTTCTTTTTTTATCATTTTTCATACACGCACAGCTCCCAAATCTCACAAGATCAGCACCAAAAACCGCCTTCCGGGCCGCTCCGACTTTTGGGAGTCGTGAGCTTGTGTGTGCGTTTCTCCTCGAGCTGCAGGAAATGAAACGGCAGCAAACGTCTCCTAGTTTGCCCCCACTCTCCAAACTTTTAGGAATTTGATGAGGATGGATAAATATTCCATCTGCCGCGTGAGCGTGTGTGCGTGTGTGTGTGTGTGTGCGTCTGACAGTCTCCCAGCAGTCTAAGCCAGCGTTATCCCTCCAGCCGTACCAGTCAGTAGTATATCTGGAGCTGGCGGCACGCTTCATTCCCCCAGCTCTTCTCCGCAGCTGCCAGCACTGTGACCGGCCTCATCCTCACACAGACATATTCACACATAAGATTGCGCTCTTATTTATTTTTTACTTCCGTGCACCGTACGTGTCGACTCGCACACTCTGAAGACGCCAGCTGCGCGATCAGGAGTTGAGCACCAAGTTTGAGAGCAGAGTGGGAAAATGAGGGGATTTCAGCGGCTTTGAGTCCTGCGGAATCTCAGAGTTTTGGATTGGAGGCCGTTTCTTCAGGTGTTCGTGTAGCTGTTGACATTCAAATTAATTTTAGGCTGGAGGGTATTACCTAGATATGTCACTGGAGGACTAAAAACAAAGGAACGGAGCTTTTTTGGGCCTTCATTTGAAGGGTGATCATTCGTCGTCATTCCATGGTGACAATACAGTGACAAAATTAACCAAAAATTCATTCTTTTTGCATTTTAAAGCTTGTGGGTGCATATTTAGCTGTTCTTAGAGAATAACAGTTTCCAGCTATGAAATACGTTGCATTTCTGTCTGCACAAGTGGAGAATGTCTTCAAACATGGGTTTTTCTCTAGGCTTCTCCAAAGTGCTTCATGGGGAAAAAGGGCTCAGATTTGGAACCCCTCCTCGTTTTTTGAGAAGCTGACGAAGCTTTGTCCACTCTAAACCATGAGGAGACGGTAGCATTGGGGAGCGCCACAGCACACGTAGTCCACGTGCACGCATTGTTGTGCGTGCAAAACAGACCTGCAGCTGGAGTGTTTCCCGTCCACCGTTGGGGACACTCGGCATGTCGGTGTGTGGCATTCAAGCTCGTGCCCGTGACTTTTTTTGGTGACTGAGCAGGCTTTGCGTCCCTGCGCGTTTGTGGGTGTTTGCATTGGTGGGTCTGACTGGTCCATTAGCGGTGAGTGACATGTTATTATCATCGGTGAGATGTGCGACATATGCCGCTCTGGCTGCCTTCCAGCCCCGTCCCTCCGTCCGTCCGTCCATCCGTCTGTCTGTCCATCAGACGCCCGGGCCACACACACACACACACACACA